GTGATATATGATGTGAATGTAGGTATATAAATATGACAGTTAAAACCCTACAACGTTATATAAAATACAAATTGATCTGCTGAAATGAAATAGTAAGCTTGAAACCTATTATTCTTATTTTTATTATGGAGATTTACCTGATTAATTTAGACATTACAACCAAGACCCTACAAAATTATACAGAGAAAACCAAACTCATCCAAGGTGTGGAGAGGAAGAACTTTTAACAGAACGAAAAATTCTGCAGAACCAGGATCAGTGAGGGCAACCGTCTGCCTTGACCAGTTAGGGTGAGGGTGAAAGGAAGAGAGAAAACCAAAGCAGAGGCAAACAGACAACAAACAAGAGGACATAAAACACTGGACAGGTTGCTGGAATCAGTAGCTGCAGATCAGATTTATGCAGAGCCAGAGATACCTGCAGAGAGGTGCATACAAACTACAGGAGAGAAAAGACAGAGTTAGCAACATGCAGTTATGTATATAAATGCACAGAGGAGATGAGAAGGATGGACGTGTGTGAAGACAGCTATCTGAACAGGGTAGCTAAAGTAAAGCATGCTGGCCAGATTTAAAGGAAGTAGAATGTATCAAAGCAAAAGAGTGAAAGAGAAAACCGAAAGAAATTTAGGCAAACCATCAATACAAAAACAGCGGGATGATTCAGGATCCAACTTCTGGAAGTTTTCGGTTTCGGTTGTAGCAATTAATTTCAAAGGATGCGTTTGAATAACTTTTGTTAGGCAAATAAAAATCTACTGCTGGGTTCTTCTTTATTGTTTTCCCCTTTCTTGTGATTCAAACAAGTCACAAACCCAGCTCAAAACAATTGCTTTTTAAATTGTAGGACTGTGGATATTTTTGTGTGAAATTGCTTCATGACTCTACAGAGACAAAGCAGATACACATGCTTATGTAAAATTATAGGAATCATAACATTTGCTTAACAATAAATAATGTGACATGTTGTGAACGAGTGCACTTGTGCTTGTTGTACATTCGACCTGTTGTGTTCATCCTCTTTTACAGACAACGCCTGACCCCGTGTGAAGCAGAGCTGACTCTTTCTGGTCATGAGAAAATTAAAAGCACAGCAAGTAATTACTGGTTGGGACACATATTAAAAAGAACAAACAGCATCTTCACAGGTGGTTTGCCGCCAAACTATCTTCCCAATCAGGTAAGATTTTTTAATTGCTCCTCTGTTTTTACCTTAACTGCTGAAATCATAAGGCTCTGAAAGACTAAAGTGCATAGAAAGAAAATTGTTTTAAGGTGCAATAATCTTACACAGTATAACAGTTGAATTGTGTCTCTGCATATATTTTTTCCCGAAGAGAGCAAAGCCGTTCCACAACTACACTGGCTGCATTGAAGTAATTGAAATTAATAACCAGAGGAGCTTCTCCACATCTGATGCCATCGCCGGCAGCAACATAGACCAATGCAGGTACAGTCCCTGGATTCTAGAAGAATCACTGGCTTCATTACGAGTGCTTGCTTTGATTCAATTTTTGCCTGGCATTTGTTGTGTTGTGTTGGTAAAACGTATATTTTTTTTCTTGGACACACACACACACAAAAATCTCTCTCAAAAAAAATCCCATTTTGCTACGTCTGATGCAGCAGAGAATATCTGACCACTTATTGTGATAAATAACACTCGAGTTTTCCTCTCTTTTCCGGGATTGCAGTCAAAGATATGTCTACTTGGTAAATGACTGCACTTTACATTTACCTTTTAATGGAGGAATTTACTTCACCGGAAACCAGTTCATATCTTTAGCCCTAAAAGCAAAGGATTTTAATGTTAAATTGGATTTTTGCCCACTTAAACCACTCCAACTTTTGTTCAATCTTCCAGATATACTTTGTATGCCATCGAAGCTCCCACAACAAGTTCCCCAAGTTTGACAACTCAATCAGCTACCTCTGACACAGTGAACACAACAGCGCTGGCAGCTCCCACACAAACACCAAAACACCCTCTGCATGAACCTCGAGTTTGCCGTGACGGTCTTTGCCGCAACGGAGGAACATGTCATCAGCCGCAGCCGCCTGAAGGAGCTCTGCCTTCCTGTCACTGTCCGCTTCATTTTACTGGAACTTTTTGTGAGAAAGGTAGGCTTGAAGATTTTTGTACTCAGCTGACGGTGTTTACCAGATTGTAAACATAATATATAAAATACACCTAGGCAGTAAAAAAAAAAAAAAAAGCTTAAAAACCCACTGTACTGTGACCTCCATAGTGGTATCATGAAGAGCCAGCCAACAAATTATATTGGTTAATATATGCTGAGCCTCTTTGGCTAATAGGTTTCACTATGAGGGAGAAAAGAGTCGGCTGCATTAAGAATTTTGAGTGATGTGAATTATTCAGTATATGATTAATGAAATGAAAGATCCATATAAGCAGCTTGAACCGTTGCTGTGTGTCCATGTTCACCTCCAGCGCTCACTGGGAATGAGAATGCGACCTTGCAGCTCTTGCTCAACATTCAGCTACAGCTCTCACCCCTGTCCCAACCAAAAAATATTTATTTTGTACCAACCACTCTGACACTAATACTAAGGAGACAGCAGCACTAGTCACACATACTAAGGAGTTTTTTCCCTTTTGAAATTTCTTCACAGTGCACTTGATGTATCTCCTGACATCGTTTCTTTTTTTTTTCCTACCTCTGCTGCCATGCATGCTATTCTGTCAGTGGAGAAAACAACATCCTGTATTTTGCCATTGTCGTCAGTCTGTGTCGGTGACAGCAGCGGTAACAATAGAATGTGTGAATTAATTGCTTGTGAGCTTGATAATGTGAGCCAAGCTGCTGACGGCTGTGGGAGATTTCAGATGCTGTGTTTCGATAGCCGTGTCCACTCCCCTGCACTGGTAGCTCCAGCATATGATTAATACTTCAACATGAATTTAAAGGGTACTGCTAATATATATTAAACAGACTGATAACTTATTTAATTTATATTAACTTTAAACATGCTGATGCATTTTGTGTTAAGTTAGCTTGGATATATTTGACCAGGTTTTTTTTTGCTACAATCTGTTGAGCAACTGAAGTCCAGGTGATAACGAATGCAAACTACCTGACCATTAGTCAAACACCTCCTCTAAGCAGTGGCTACCTTTCCAGAACCAAAACACACAAGGGCAAACATATGAGGAATGGATTAAATTATGTTCATGTGCTCAAGTCTGCACTCCTTAGCACATCCAACTTCTACTACCCGTAGTAAAGAAGTCTTCAAGGCCAAGTGGAATATCATTTCAAACTAGTTTGTGAGGTTGCAGGTTACACTGAATGAAATAAATTGCGTGTAGTATTTCCCCACAATAAGTTGTCACTGGAATTGTGAATCGATCCTGCTCTTTACTACCGTAATTACTACAAGCCGCTACATTTTTCACATGCTTTGAACACTGCGGCTTAAACAATGATGCGGCTAATTTGTGGATTTTTCCGATTTTTACAAATTTGCCTCGAGACGAAAGTGACATTGAGAGCGACAACGAAAGAGAGACTGAGGAAGTGTGTGACGAAGTAATTCTGAGGCTTTTCAATTCCTACAACGCAGAAGATGACTTTTGTGGTTTTAGTGCGCAGGGAAAGATGAAGATAGCGATCAGTGACTTTTCGTGGTAGGCTGCTGTATTTTTTATTTTCTTAACCAGCGCTGTTACAGGCACTGATCAGACAAAAGCATTTACGGTACGTATTTGTGTATGTTACCAGTACGTATTCAATTAAAAGTTAAAAAAATCTTTCTGTGTAAACATCTCATGTTACAACATGGACACCTGTGGCTTATAGACAAGTGCGGCCTATATGTACAAACATTTTTTTCATTTTAAAGTTAGTGGCTTATATTCATCGTCCGAAAATTACAGTAGATTAGGCCCAGAATAGTGTTAAATGTGCCAAATGCACCACTAACTCCTCATCTGAAAGAGTTTGAAAATACCATCCATTCATTATCTATACACCACTTAATCCTCACTAGGGTCATGGGGGGCTGGAGTCTATCCCAGCTGACTTAGGGTGAAGGCAGGGGGCACCCTGGACAAGTCGCCAGTCTATCACAGGGCTACACTTAGAGACAGACAACCAAGCACACTCACATTCACACCTACGGACAATTTAGAATCACCAATTAACCTCAACATGTTTTTGGACCTTGTGGGAGGAAGCCGGAGAACCCGGAGAGAACCCACGCTGCACGGGGAGAACATGCGAACTCCATGCAGAAAGATCCCCGGTGTCCTCAATGGGACGCAAACCGGCGACCTTCTTGCTGCGAGGCAACGGCGCTAACCACTGAACCACCTTGCAGCCCTGTTTGAAAATACACGCAATTTAAAAAAGCAAAGAAATTAAATGAAGTTATGTCGCCACATAATATCAATTTGATCTCACATTTCTTCTTGCTCACCCTAACACTAGCACCAGCTGGTAAAACCTGGCAATATCTACTGTTATTTGCAAGCTTTAGTCGATCTCTGGCTGAAATTAATTGCTTCAATGGTAACTCAACTAATTAATTCTAAGTGTTAAATGTGCCACTATGACTGGAAGCTACACATGCCATGTGCGGGAACAGGTGGTTTTCCAGGCAGAGCAGGCATTACTAAGGGGGCAGGACATACTGAAGAGTCAATTACCTGTGATAGGAATTACAGCGCTGTGTGTGTGTGGGGGCGAAATCAACACAATTACAGCAACTACAAGAGAGGATTTTTTGGGGCATCAACAATAGTCAGGCTTTCTTCAAGTTTCTTGTGTAAAACACATTTCTTCTCCTGGGAAAAAACCCAAGACATTAAACTAACAATGCTTACAGTGGTTGGTTTTAAATAAGGAGCTTTTGGATAACAGTAGCCACCAGATGTTATATGTGTTGTACATTTTAAGCCTGGGAAATGTTTCAAGTAATGGAAATTCTTATTAGCATTAAATATTTTTAATAATGGAAGTTGGATTGATCTTTACCTTTAGAATCAGAAAAACCCTTATTAATCCTCACAAGGAAATTGCTTTTTTAACCGTTGCTCTTTGGAAGTTTTGAAGTTAACTTTAAATTTAAGCATAAAGACGAGGAACTGTGTAACTCGATGGACAGCCAGTGTTCGAAAACTGAGTGACGGTGGGAAAGACTCTTGTCCGGTGACATGTGATGGAAGTCCTCAGAGATCATGAAAAAAAAAAAAAAAGCCTTCACTGTAGCAGAATAGATGGTTTACAGACGTTTACAGAACATGTGGAAATGTGACAGGATGCCGCCTCGAGCTAATGTTAACAATCATTAACGTGGCCTGAGCAGCATGGTTGCAACTGGCACCCTGATTTGACACGTCTGCCCCGTGTTCTAAAAATGCTAATTTACAGGTGTTTAAGTAATCTCCTGAAATGTTATTTGCCTCTCCGGGCACTGTAGCAAAAAAAAAAAAAATGAAATGCTATTTTTAAGCCTTCACTCTGGTTTGTTTTTCCCGTGGGAGACGGCTACGTCGAGGAAAAGCGGTGCCGCCCCTCCCCTCCCCTTTGCTTACATGACAGAGATGGTGCTTTGTTCAGCCAGTTTTTTTTTTTTTTTATAAAGAAGCTCTGGCCAGCGTTTAAACAGCCAGCAGAGACCAAAGAACATGAATCATTCATTGACTCATTTGCTCATTCATTTATTGCTCGCTGTTGTACCTTTCAGCTTCAGAGAAAGATAATATCACATGTGATTGCCGCACATAAGGAAGCTGGAGCTAACCTTACTAATTGGAAATTAACCCTGATAAGGCAAAGCTGCATTACCACCTGGCATGTGATGTAATAATGTTGTAATACATAGTGGCTTAATATAGATAGTAAATTCCCACCACGATACCTGTAAATGAATCTGATTGGATAATACATTCCCGCAATCATGACATATAGTCTCATCCTTTTTCCTTCCATAACCATAAAGTGAATTCCTGCTTATCCCTCACCTCATAAACTTTTCCTTTAAATACCAGCATTGGCCTTTTAGTGTCATTTCTGCTGAGTTTGAGGAATTGCCCCTCCTCAAAAGCAGTCCAGTCGCTCAGGTTTAACAGAGCGCGTTCTCATGTGAGCACTCATCCACTGATGTGCTTTGCAACACTCGTCCTTAGCCGGCAGACAGAGTCCAGGGGCTGTTTACATGCTGACAAAGTGTGTGAGTGTGTATTGCGACAGCAACTTTGCTGGGTGACAACCTTGTCCTCACATCTCGTCGAATTAAGTAATAGCCACAAGAGGAGCGTAGAGCAAGCCACCCCTGCTCTCAGTTAATTATAGATACGTCATAGTACCCAGTGACTAATGATGTGGACTTGTTTGTGTCCTAGATGAAATGCTGACATGTCACACAGCCCACAGATCTGACGGAGATCGCATATCTAAAACAAACATCATGATGCGCTCCAGTCTATACGGCTTCTTTTCATTTTTCAGTCACTAAAATGTCACCGCGGATTTGTTGACATGTAGTATATAATAAATGACATACTAATGAAGTATCTCCATGGCAATAGAGAAAGAACATCATATCTAAGGACACACTCCGACCTCTCTGCTGTGCACAATAGAGTGAACATTTTATAACTGTTTCTTTTCTCTAGTACAATGTTGTACATGTGTTGAGGTATTTTGAAAGCCAGGTGTTCTTGGGCAAGACACTGAATAGTATGTCACTTATTCTTCTTATTTTTCTGATTTCTCTCAATCTTCATGTTATTATAATACACTAAAAGTGTGGCAGTGCTGAAGGCAGACTATTTCTACTATTCCTACATTTATGGATCTATTTCCTATACAGTGTGTGGCAGATGGATCCTGAACTGGATGAGGTCTACAGCAGGGATTGCTCATATTAATATTAACATGAATTATTATACTTTTTTGTAGCTACCATAGTAGGTGTCACACTAGTAGATGCATTAAAACAACAGATTTACTTCTTCTCAGGTAACAGTACACACAGAATGTCTGCCCAAATATTATAATATCAACTAAATCATCACAGTGATGAAAAAAAAAGCCCATGAAAAAAAAAAGAGCTGTCACTCCAAAACATGGGGATTTGCCTCTCAGTTAGATTTACTATGTTACGTACAACCTGTACATAAGCAACTTAAGCTCTGAGTCTTGCTGTCTTATGTTCAGACCCTGGGGCTGCACCTCTGCTACGGTGTGCTATAATCCAGGCCGGTGCCTGGTGGCTGAGTGAGTATTTGATATCAAGTAGCCAACCATAAGACAGGTTTTGTCAAGATAAAGCCAGTTCAACTGGGCATGTCAGTGTTTTAAGCTATTATAAATTGTCTCCTCAAAGAAGACACAGTAGGTTGGAGACCTTGCCAAAGCCATTCTGTCAAGTATGTAAGCATTCAGCTGAAAGCGATCACAAAAATTAGTTATGGAGTAAATGGCTGCCAGGTAAGGAAGTAGGCATAAAAGACGAAACCAGTGAGGCAGGAAATTATTCAGGCTCGGTCTGTATTGATCATGACCTCCTTCTACGGCTCATTGAGTTATGTCCTTACTTCTCGTATATTTGAAGCTGTGATGTAGGATGTCGGCCGGGAAGGAATAATAAAATGAAAGTCGAGAGCACGATTTTGCCCCATTTATGTCATTTCAACAACTTTTACCTAACTACCGCATCAATCCAAATAAGACTGAACGCTATTTTTACTCATTTAAAGTGTCTTTTTGGGGGTTTTTTTGGTGGTCCTACTTGGAAACAGAACTATGTCAAACTAGTTCTTTTAAAATTTTCCTTTCTTGGTTAATAGTATTATGATGTTCTCGTTTGTGCATTTTAATTGCATTGAACAGCAAAGTGGCAACAGAAGGTATTTTTAAAAGACTGTGATTCATTTTGATTTGTGTATTTTTTAATCTAATTATAAAATAGAAATTGGACCACACAGTGCAGGCAATATTTTCAGAGATAAAGATCGGGGAGAAGCCTGTCCATAAACGTAGTCAGGTGAAATGACAACAAATCACCTTCTTTTTTTTTCTTTTTTTTTTAAGGCAAACAAAAAGGACTGTTTTTGGGGTGGTGAGCCTCTCTGTTTTTGTGTTTGACATTAATGGGACCTGATGAGGGGTTGTCGGCTTCCTGCTTTGCCAACACACTGGCTAGATGCTGCCAGCTCTTTTTGTGGGCATCCAGTGTGTGTTTGCTGTAATTGCTGGTGCCTTTAAAAATGAGCCAGCTCAATCTGCCTTACTCAGAAATTGCCAGCAAATATTACAGGATTGATTCATCATTTTCCGCCCAAGGAAACCGCTCCTTCCACAACAAAAGAAAAACTGGGGTTTTTTTTTTTGTTTTGTTTTGTTTTTTTTATTTTCTCTTTGTAATATGAAGCATTGGCTGTCATGTCTGCTGCACATAATTCTCTGCACAACTCGGAGGAGTCATCCACTCTGATTGGTCGGGAAAATGGCAAGAGTGGGGGAAAGTGGCGGAGCAGTCGTACAGTACAGGCAGAGAAAACAGGATTATGAGCATTTGAGAAATGGTACGACTGGAAAATCTTCCCGGGTGTCGGTGTGGTGACTGATCATTAAACTGGCCCGAGTCGGTGTCCCACCGGCCCCCAGGACACCGAACAGTCGTTATTGTCAAAGCTTGCAATTCACCTTGCTGATATTTTCACTTACTGTATGACTCGACTCCTTCTCATGAGCTCGTTAGGGCTGTTTTCAGGATGCCCTGTTGACATGATTGACTGATCGCCATGAATTGTGTTATCCTCGTTGCAATGAATAAACCCACTAACGCTGCGTTAACTGTCCACAAGTAGTATCTGACTCACGGATCAAGCAGCGCCACAGTAAACGACGAAAACAAGTTGCAGCCATTTGCTGTTCTTCCTGTTTGAGCTACTGAGAGCAAATTACAGTACGGAGAGTAGATTTGCGTGTTGTGTTTTGTTCATCTCAGTACTGTGGTGTATAGCAGGTACAACCATGTGGTATGTTCATAAGCCTTTACCTGATTCCACATAATCATCCTATCTAACTCCCTCCACTCAGCTGTGACATTCAAAACCAAGTGACTTTACTAAGTTCTTCCTGCATATAAACCTATAGTTTGACTATACCATTGCCACTTGTTAGGCAAGTCACAGAGATTCCTAACTTTAAGACCACCAGTTTCTTTCCTTACAACTTTATGAAATATCCCAGGATTCTTCTCATTCTTTCTTTTACTTTCTAGTCTCTTCTAAATGTTGTCAATCATTCACATCCTACTTTAAAAATCCATTTGATCCGGCATCAAAGCACTAAAAAAGTGAACACAAGAGTCATAAGAGGACATTCATGTTTCTCTTACAATGGGAAAAAAATACTTTTTCAGAGCCCTACACATACTGTATATGATGAGTTCTCAGCTGAGAATAAAGTGCATTTTTCCTTGAGAGCCGGATTCTGAAGGTAAAATCCCCTGAGCTGAGTCTGGGGTGGCCTATTTTGAATCGACTGTCATGCACCTGAACAGCAAGCTATCCACCAGGTGCGCAATGTCCTTTGTCTCAAAGGCCAACAGATCATCACTGGCTTGTGGAGTTGATGACCTGAGCACGTACCTCCTCCACCTTTCCTTAAAGTCATATCGCTTTGTCATCCAATGGGAAATGACACACTAGCACAAAGCCCTCGACAAAGCCCCGCTGACTGTGCCCACGGACAAACTATCAGTGCTGCAAAGGCGGACACAGTCCAATTTCTGCTGTTCTGTTTTCTAACAAAAGCACTTTAGGCCATTACAAGATATGTCATTCAGATATACGCGTAGTTTTGTCCTGGTTTCAAGCAAAAATGTGTGAAAATGTGTTTTTTTTTTTAAAAACTAGTACTAGTCTTTTTTTCTACCTCCATGCAAATGCAGTTTACTGATTTGTATTTAATGCTTGTTTCTAGATACCACAGTGTACATCCCCTCGTTCGATGGCACGTCTTATTTGGAGCTGCAGCCTCTTGCGTTTCTTCTTCAGCCTTCTGGTGACAGCAATAATCGACCTGCTACAGTCAAGGACACCACTGTTTTTCTCTATTTGACAGTGAAAACAAGATCTACACAGGGCACCATACTCTACAGTGAGTACAGTCTCTCGCTCTTTTTTTTTATTGCAGATATTTAAAAGCATGCAACACTGTGAGAAAAGGTATAGATAAAAGCTGAGCGAATATGCACAAATGTACTTACATGCCATTACGCTGAACTACCTTTTCATCCAGCTTTTTACGTACTTGTGTCCTTTTTGAGTGCACAAGGGATGTTTTGGTTTTTCATAGCCTTCAGTGCAAGCTGCTATCTAGCCAGCGTCTGCCATAATTCAGTTTTTGTAGCCGCTAAAAGGCCTTACTATATTAGACCAGACTAATCATCCCTGGTGCACATGAAATGTAGAGAATATTTAGTGGGTAAAAGATTGCACTTGGCAGTTTTTACTTTCATGCTGCTTAGTGAAAAAGTTTGAGTCGTGCCATTTTAATAAGAAAGTATCAAGGCATTAGTGAGAATATTGAAAAACTGGGATTGCTCTGACATCTGTGAACATTTGTGGTATCAGGATGCATCACATTTTCATATCACCAATAACAAAAGGAATAGTTCAGTTTTAAAAATTCATTTCTTTGCTTTCTTTTGGAGCGTTGGAAGTCAATACCAATCATGTCTGGTAAGTTTACGTCACAGCAAGCAGCTGCTTAGCTGACCTTTTTAGGACAAACCAAAAATAAGTAACAAAATCCAATTAACAGCACCTCACAATCTGACTAATTAACGTGTATTTTCTCACTGTGCAGTCTGTACAAATGAGAAGACTTGGTTTTGCTGGACCATTTCTTGTCCAGGTGCGATCGCTTGTTTTCACAATCCCGGTCACTTTAGTTTTCACGCTAATCAAAATTTAAATGGTGAAACCAGAAAATGAATGTGAGTTTAATTTGTTTTTGATATTAACTGTGTCTTCCAAATGTCCCATCAGAAATATTTGAGTGTAAAGTGCACTTTATTTTCAGTAAACAAATATGTGCTCTAAAGGATTGTGTCTGTTTTGATGTAAGCCCATCAAAAGAGTAGAGACAATCTATACTCGACAGTATAATGCTGTCTAGACATGCTATGAACAAGGTTCATCGCTCGACTGAAAAACTTTACTTTAGTTTCTGTAGTGCTTGTTGTCACTGTTATTACTTCTCTAAGTCTCTGTGCTCCTTTCAGTCACAAATAATATTGGAATGATTTGTCATTCTGTGCCTGGTTTATCTGAAATGTTTAGAGTATGATCCTGTTTCCACTTTCCAGCAAGCAAGGATGCTTGGTTATGGCATCACAGAAAAGACTGAAAGGAGCAAAACAATGCGTAAAATTTGAAGAGATCCAAATTCAGTGTAGGGGACGATTGCACAAGGGACATGTGAAAGAGTGGATTAAAACAGCTGTCTGTGGTGTTTGAATAGCATTTCTATAAACACGTGTATTTGTGAATACCAAAAAATATTATGAAAAATAAAAAAGGTATCACCTGGGGACACCATGAGTCATCTGTTGCAAGGAATTGTGGGATGCAAAGATGGGTCCAGTGTCTCCAAGGCTAAGGGAGAAAGAAAAGGAAAGAAAGCACCGAGACTCAATTCTGCATCGTTTTTCTTGGCTGTTTATTTAATTACATCATTCAGAACCAAATATTGCATTCAGCTGCACCCAAAAGTCCTGCAGTGTATAAGATAATGTGTTATGTAATTAGGAAAAGAGTAGGACAGCAGGGAAGAGCATAGCGCTCCGGTGAAGGATTACAGATAGGGGGTTTTGGGGACAGCTGGGAGGCTTTGTTGTTGTTTTGCTGCTGGTGATTGAGCTATAACCTAAAAGCGAACAAAGGAATCCTCATAAGGCAAGAGGCGGTCAGTCGCGTGCGGCGATAGGACCGGGCTCACCCTTTACGTCAACGGCGGGCTCCACATTGTATGTCTGCCTCCTGCCAGCTCTTTTGTTCCCACACCTGCACACACACATACACACTCCCCTTTGTTACAGTAGGAGATTGGGAGAGGTACACCAGACAGACCCTGAGTAGACCCTCGTAACAATAGAGCATTGTTTTGGGAGGAGAGGAGTCAGTAAAAATATGGGGATTTTTTTTTATTATTACTTTTTTTTTATTTTCGAGAGAAGCTAAGCCTTGAGAACTTTGCTTCATTTATCCAACTTTGTGTGCATCTGTTCAAAGTAGCATATATTAAGTGCCAGCCAGCTCAGGGGTGAAACCGCTGCACTCCAGCTACAGGTCCTGACTCCAAAAAACATCCAACTGTGGTCCCCGGCGGACCACGGCTGCAGCTCCTCGCTCTAAAAAAAACTGCAGCCACCTTGATTTTCCGGGGCCGCCGTTGCTCCCGTGTTCCGCCGCAGCAAGTCAGGTGCAGGTCCAACGGAACTGTAACCGCCATGCATTGTGTGGCGATCACGGGTGATTTATTCCACACCAATCGGGCACGGACATCATAACATTCATCTTGCTGGTATAACCTAGATCACCTTCTTATCTGTGACGTCGTCTACAAGTTCACTGGCTCTCATTTACATTTACAGACCTATTAAACATTACAGTACACCTCGGGGTTACCCCACACTTTCTCCCCTTTGATCAAAATTGGGATTTTCGGGCTTGAGTAACTGTAATGACCGTAAAGAGGAGTAAGTTCAAAACTGGGTGAAAACGGCCTCCGCAAAACCCAAAACCTGTGATGTCTGTGACACAAGTAAGTTTTAGGTCATTGATTCTAATATTTTCCTTAACAACTGATGCATTTTTAACACACAGCAGAAGAAGTGAATTCTTTCCAATTTCTGGGTGCATTAAACAGTGGAAGCTATAGTGTGCTAAAAAAAATTGGAGTAGTTTTACTATCAAGCAGTCTTGCATTCCTTAGAGTAATAATAGCCTGACTTTTCTTTCTCTGGGCTGACATTGCCCTCCCATGATGGCAGCTGAGTGCCTCAGTATTTCGCCAAAGACTTAAATCTTTGTATTTAAAGAGCTATTAATTAGCCAGCTCTCAGAACTTAATAGGACTCTAAATTAGTGCTTTGTACAAGGTTGGTGCACTTGAAAGGTCAGCCAGCCAAGCCTTAAATACACATCGACAATGGTAGCTTTAATTTTAAGACAAATACACTTTATCTCGTCTGACGCAGCTTCTTAAAATCATCCATAAATCATTTTTGCTGCTGAATTCACTGCTTTGAATTTTGGAAAGTTTAGGATACATTATTCAGGGAATATTTTAAAATGTCAAATGATAGGTTTGAGAACAGAGTAGCAGAATAATTGCAAAGCAAAGCTTTTAGTATGCTACCCCATACTTAGATTCGTGCTTGTTTTGGGAAATTTTATTGGAAAAACAGAACATTACTTGAACAAAAAGAATACAGCTGTGAGGTGTGTATTTTCATGTTTTCTTGTCGTTTTTCTATTACGGCATTTCAGCACATTACTGAGCGTACATTTACTACTCTTAAAAAAGCAATGCACTTTAAATAAAAGACTTTGCATTTCAAAACGTATAAACACAGTCCTGTGAAAACGGTGAAGAGGAATTGCAAGCTGCCTTTTTAGTGTTCTGATTAGTACTTTTTATTTCACTTTGTATGCTGAGGACATATGCAAGAACTAAGGAAAAACATGGTGGCTTTTCAGAGGAGATAAAAAAGAATGACATTTCAGTATATTTCTGTAATAAAATGTAGGTTTTTTTTTAAATTATTATTGCAAGAAAAATCTGGAATAAAAGCAATAGAAAGTTATTTCACAGAAAATTTGTTTTTTAAAAAATATCTCACCAGGGACAGCTAGCTACGGGAAGATGACATTAAATCACCTTTTTAGTTGTCAGATGTGACTCGATGCTTGATGTCAAACTAGCAAACTTGTTTCGCCTCGACTGTGTCATACGCTGCATCATATATTCGCTGCCACTAAGCATGTCGCCGTGTGGATCTTAAGTCATCGCCTGTCTGAGCCTTCGCAGATTTACGCTATAGATCAGTCTGAAAAATTGACTGCTCTGTCAACGGATGTCATCGTCATTCCAAACCAGCTTTCACTACACTCAAGATTAGATGTGAACACTACTGTAAATTAGAAAACATAGTCATAATTTTAGGTTAGTTGGGTTAATTAAATCAGTCTGTTCTCCTACTCTCAATAATATTTACAGTATTTCACTGCAGCAGACTGTGGAAGCCAGGAAGTGGAGTGTCGTGAAGAGAGATGAATGTTCAGAAAGCATATATAGCGGGCACAGTGCCTTTTATCTAGTAATGCTTCCTGGCTTATAGTGCATCATCTTTTCCACATCAGAGGATAGGAACTGAAAAGAAAACTCCAGAGATCAAACAGACAAAGTTAATCAGAAGAAAACCAAAAGACATGCATTGAGATGCGGAGAATCTCTTCGCCAGACCTGCTCCTTATTCTCCACTCCCCTTTTTACACCTCTCCCTGAAGCAAACCCGTGAGTTTCCCCCCTGGACTTCAATTGTCAGCTCGAGAAGAGAAATACGAGGAGGTGGGGTGAACGAGAGAGAGATAAAGAGAGAGAGAGAGGGAGAGAGAGAACAGGTGACAGGCACTGACAAAAGGACGAACGCTCTGTTAGGTTTGGCGCAGAGTAACAGGGCCATGGGGACAGCACGGAACAATATCCTTACAGAAGAAAAATAGAAAAATAAAAGATGGGGCAACATTGACATCTATAGTAAATAATATTTGTCAACAAATGAGTTATGGCGCTAAGCAGAAACAATTGCTTTGAGGGGAGACAAAGGCTCATTGTTGTAGTAGGAAGTCACATCTGTGTGGTTTTTGTTGTTGTCCTTGTTGCCGCATTCAGTAACTCTAGACGGTCTCTACTGAATCTGTGTTTTAGAAATAATGTGCGTGATTAAGCGCAGTGCGTAATTGTGAATGCACTTTTCATTTACCCACAAAAACATACCTTAATTGTTTTATGGATTCGTTATTTTTTTTCTTGTTTGAGATCATTTGTACATTAACACATTTTTAAGAGGTGCAATGAAATACCAGATGTAACTTTTTTTTTCCCTCAGTGCTTAAAGTATTGCTTGCAGTTTAATAGTTAGTTTAATATTTCTATGAAATTGTCAGCCATCACTGAAGAATTTACAGTATTTTTGGCCAGGCAGTCTCCCAGACTTTTCAAGGTGACTTCATTACCAGCATCACAAACAACTTGGAGACTCGCTGCTTGCTTTAGAATTATATTCCCGCTGCATCTTTGCTTGTTTACTACGTCAAGTTACATTTCAAGTTTTAGATTTATGCATTGCTTAGGCAGAAATGTATGCACTGTTAAAAACAGCAACTGACAGTCATAATGGTTTTTCAACATACCGTAGCGTTTGATGCATATTTCAGTTTTATTTCTAGGATTTCTTGACAAAACTCTCCATTTACAGAAAAAATAAATAAAAATCTCTCTTAACCACACCTAAAACAAAAGCAATTATTTGGACAGGAAAGTCAAGGTTGAGATATAGAAGCTTGTTTGTCTGAATTATCAGTAATTGCTACATGCCCTGATTTAATGCTGTGGTTGTAAATGGTTATATAATATGGCAAAGTGCCGTTCACTGAATAAAAACATACAAAGAAAGAGATATACAAATAGGAATACAAAGAGGTAATTACATTTGTAAGCACCAGTTGTATTGCAGCCTTCACACATGTATGAGTAAATGGTATACAGGAAAGTAAAGTGTATGTTCTTTTTTTTTAACCACTTACATCCAAGCGCACACACACATTGTTTGCCCAGAGGGAATATTTTAATTTTGGTAAAAGTTGGAGTACATCTACCGCTTTCAGAAACATTAAAACTAAAAGCAGCTTTGTCAGCTTCAGGTTTAATACATGGAAAAACTAGTGGCCTCTACCAGATAACCTAACAGACCTGATGACCTTAAAATGAAATGCACATCAGTGATGTGCTGCAGAGCGGGGCCTTTCCTGGTTTAGCAAACAAAAAGTTACATTTTATAATCCGTTATAAAGCTGACAGCAAAATGTGATATGCTCAAATGTTCTCTTTCTTATTTGAATCACAACTGCATTTTGAATATGCTGGAGTCAGCCCACAGTCTTTGGAGGTAGAGAAATTAAAACCATTAAGTAGAGATGAACACTGGAAGAGTTTTTTTTTTCCATCTTCCCGTGACAAGAAGCCTTTAACATAAGATATATCTTTGTAATCATGGAGTTTGGTAATGCCGCAAGCATAGCCCAGCATTAGTACTTACTTTTAAATTGGGAATCTTTGTGACATTTACCTGGTTAAATAAATGGGGAAAAACAAAGCATTATTGGATGTCTACTTTATTGAGCCAAGGGGTCAGAAATGTGTACGACTAAGTGTCATATGGATAAGCCAGATGAGAGTGCACGGTGGCAGCATGAGTCAATTGAAAAGCAGAGAAGACTTGATCCCTTGGGAACAAGGTAAAGGACCAGAAATAAAATTACTGAATGACTCATTTCATGCCTCTTCAAAAAAGGATGAAAACCCTTCATGAGAAAATGTTTTCATTCCAATGAATAGTCCCTTTGCTGTCTCCTTTGGCTCTGCAGCTGGTATTTGTCAGGGGTTAAGGCCATACCCTTCTGCAGAACAAGACTGAGAAAACAGTGGATTATCAGAACAAGATATTCTTCCTGTGGTCCATTCACACAGAGGACTGTAATATGGCTCTATTGAGTGCATCCCTGTTGAGTCTTATGACAAGGAAGACCTCCAAGTCGGCTTAGAAAATGCATTATCAGAGTGCAGCATATTAAGCTAAGCATAGCCTCCCTCTGACAAAGAGATGGGGATTTTCTTGATGCCCTTCTTACCCTGGAGGAATTGTTCGGAGCTTTCATATCAGTTGCCTTGCAGCCTTGAAACAACACACTCAGCTTTTGCGCCATTTTCCTCCGGTGTCTAAATCCTCCACCCATGCTATTACTTCAAGAGAGAGGACGCACACATTGCTAAAACTGTCTCTGCAGCCCATACACCGCTGTCTTAGTCCGAGCCCAAAAAGCCACATCAGCTCTGTTTCTGAAGGTCCTGTTTCAATTACCATCGTCATTGTGAAATCAAAGAGGTCAACGCTGCTGGTGCTAGGCCTATTCAGTATCTCCCTGTGGGCTCGGAGGTCCCCTGGCCCCGACGCCGAATGTGCCCCATGTGCCTTGTTGGAAACACTGAGACATTCTGGGTCTCTAACAGAGCAACATTACAGTTCAGTCCTCTGCCCTGCAACCATGTCTTCCCTGACAGTGGGGCAAGAGTGGCAGACTCTCTATCTCGGTTTCCCTCAAAGAGCTGCATCCTTTTGTTGCCCTCCCTTTGCTCATGTCTTTTTAGACAGCAGAGTGGGACTGGTGTGCACTCTCTCACCACCTCCCTACTGAAGACCCTAGTAGCCTGTGTGGGAGGATTAATGCTTCTGCTGCTTCCCGTTGCTCCCCCACTGCAATGTCTCACTTGCAAGAGTCTCAGAAACCCCCACTGTCATAATGTACTTGAGTGCAGTGATACAATAGAGTAGAAGTGACGTAGCTACTAATGGCACTCTGCCTCACACCCAAGACTACGGGAACAATTTCTGACCACAAGGTCGTATTCCTGTTTTGTAATCAACACTAGGAGATTGGAGAACAGTGAAACCCGCAACATAAACTTCCATGTGGCAAAGCCATTTTTAAGAGGCCCTTTCCTGCTGTAGAGAACAAAGTAGGAATGAGATGCAGGGATTTGCCATCATCCCTCTTGTCATGTGATTGTTCTGCAACAAAGAAAATAATAATATTCTTGGCTGCACAGCAGTGGCTCCAGCAATGATTCCACGAGAACCCAAGCTGTGACAAAGAACAACTGGTGACCATTGTCCTCAAAGCCAGGCAGAATGAGATCTACTCGAGTGAGCCATGGGGAAGGATACTCCTTTGTGGAAGATAATCTCTTGCTTGCTACCTTTCACCTTCCTTATTAGATGCAAGACACCTACTGGAAACTTGCGGATTTAAGGTTCATGTAAGTGGATCTTTATCTCTTCAAGTGGAAACTGCACCACCTTCTGCTAACTTATAACATCACATAAAGCTATTGGGAAAAAAAATATATATATATATGTATATATTGTACCGTTATCATCATTATTCACAGGTGAACAAAGATGGCTCCATATAGCCTGGATTGTGAAAGGACGCAGTTGATGTATCAAGGTCCCTCTGACACTGAAGTCCAAACTGTACTTTGTGCTCCATTATTTCTTTTTCCACAGGTGGTGGGAGGGACAAGGAGCCCCGTATTTACTTTTTTTTTTTTTTTTTAAAAAGGTTTTTTTTTTCTTTCTAAAAACAGACTCTGCAGCAGTGAGCAGTAGGGATTCATCCTTAGTCAGTCCTCTAGTCAGTTCTTTTCTTATTTCCCCATGCAGGTGGGAGTATTCACTGGAAAGTTCTTCTGTCCTTTATTGGGAATTGATAATTATACACGAAACCTTCTCAGAGGATATGTGCCTGCCTTTTAGTTAGATTTCTCTCTGTGTATTGTCTTTTCATGTTACTTTTAACAGTGACTTGTATGTATTTGGTCCATCTACAAACAGACAGAACCTGTCTTTTAAGCATTTTAGAGTTCATCAGGTCTGTATTATTGCTGTTAGGATATATCCTGAAGAGAGGACGCTTTACTGTACAAGTGTCTGTGTTCATTGTAGAGCTCACAGCAATGTGAAGTAGGTTCTTGGTAAGCTTCTGCCGAATAGAGGAAAACCTATTGGCTGCGAAATGGCATTTGTGGGTGTTTGGGAATCTTCCCTCAGGTTTTCATGAGCTGGATATTGATCACAACAAGTATGACCTTGTGGTCAACACTGTCTTGGTCTTACTCGCTCCTGCTGGTACTATATAGACAGAACCTTTGTTTGCTGCTTCGCTGGGCAGATGGATTTGAATTTACAGATCATTATGAAAAGTCAGACATATGCATATTTAAGTTAAAGGCAAATACATGTCCATTGACCACCCAGTCACCATAGTTACTTAACATTATGCTCATTTTATCTCTTACATTTTCTGTATTCATTCTCATTGTTGTGAAGACATGTCATCAATATGGGTTTTCACAGATGCACACGTCCCAAAGGCAGCAGCAGTGTAGAGTTACATCTAAGCCACTTTAAGGTCAGGAGGGATTATTTAAATTGAAACATATAAAGCTCTTCTAAATGTAGAACTTTAATACACAGAGCTACATTTTTTTAGGTGTGATCGTTGACAGGAGACTGACTTAAATGTGGTAATACGGGAAAATGAGCTGCTTTACTCATCACCTTTTCTAACCTTTTCAGCTCAAGAGCAGAACTTTGGGGATCGGTTCCTTCATGTGTTCCTTCAAGATGGAAGCCCCGTTGCTAGACTTGGTTGTGGTGGCAGTCGTGTTTTGAATGCAGCAACAAACCAGAACATCAATAATAACAGATGGATGCCAATCGCAATCCGGTAATGACACGTCTCTCCTACTCTCCTGTCTGCTCTGTAATAGTCTACTGCCAGTGCCATTATCCCTGTTCTTTTTGTCATGAGTGTTGAGTGTGGCATTTATGTTTATTGTTAATAGAAAAGGATGAAAAGAGAACTCGTAGCGTAGTTTTCATGTATAATATCTGTCTGTAGATGTGAGCCAGATTCCTGGTGATCGTTCCACCATTAAAATATTGTATCATAACAGCCATTAAACTGATTGTTGTAGGTGTTAGCAGACCAGCAGTCACATTGTCCTTTACACAATGACTAACAGCAACATCCAAGCGATACCATGCACATTTGCTTATTACCACTTCAAACCATTTGCCATGTTCAGTGCTCTCTTCTTTGATTATGTTCAGGGGGGAGTTTTTAAAGTCACATGTGGTGTGCTTTTTGTTAAAGCCCCAGTGAATCTTGTTTGCCCATTAGCTGTCCACATTAGTGAGCCGATCCTACAATTATATAGAATTGTGATTGTCCGTCACCCCATCAGACAGTTTCCAACTTTAATGCCCGGTATCTCTGTGCACCTCAGAATGAAGGCAGACTCTTACATGTGTCAAAGTGTCAAAGTAACATAAACAATGTCAAACTATCTACAGTACTGGCAGTGTTGGTTTTGGCATCGTGAGTGCAGCCGCCTGTTTCCTTAAGAAAACTATATGGAGAAACTGTCATATTCAGTTTTTCTGAACTCTATTTTAATAATCATTGTGTTAAAGGTGCTGTTGGTTAGCACAAGCAAATTGGTGCATTTTAAACAACAACTGTAGTCTTCTGTATGCCAAACTGTGGTCATTTATTGTTTTGTTTTGTTTTGTTTTTTTGCTAAACCGTGAAAATTAGTATCACAAAATAACGTTTCCCAGCCCCTGGCATCTGAAGATCATTTACAGGTAGTCTACAGAAAGATCTAGGATCATTAGCCTTTGATATTCGGTCATCTGAGAAAATTGGCCATTTTGTCAAATGGTTGTGGAGCGTTTTCTTGTAAGTGGCTGAGATCTTTCAGTCTTGGCTACACCGAGTAGACAATCCTTAGATCTTGAATGGAGGAAATTCCTTATACTTATTTACAACTTTGCTACAGCAATCTGGTATAGCTTTTAGGTTTGTGTATGATGCCTCTCTACCTCAAACCTACACGACGATGCACTGTAGAGCAAGTTGAGCTGTACAATTCAGTTTGAATGGAACACTGTTTAAAACAACTCAAAATGCACAGTATATTTATTTAGATCACATGTAAGTTTGTCAATTAATATTTTAGGTAAAGTATTTGTCATCCACACATTGCAAACTTGAATGAGCTGTATAAGGACTGGGTTTAAAAAAAAACATTAGATTGAATGCATATCAAAAATACAATGCAACACAATAATACAACACATTAAAGGAGACAACTCAGTATGTAAATGATTTTATACTGAGTCCAAGGAACATGGTGTACAGTGCATGAATGGCTCAGCTGGAGTTTAATAGTTTTAGCTTAGTTAGATAACAATGTAATTATGAAAAGAAATTGCTTTTGCCATCTTACCATGCTTGTCACTAGATTTGGCATTTTTTAGATCCCTCCTCGGGTAAAATTATTCCTTGAAAGCCACATGCAACAAATGTAGCTACTTTTTTTTTTGTCTTGTCAAGGGAAAACAGTTGACTTCAATGCTTAATTTGTGATCCTGCTGCAACAGGATCCAGGACCTCCCAGGTTGGGACAGGCATCTATTTTTCATTTTGACTATTAAAATCTGTAAACACATTTTGCACAGTATTTAATGTTATCGGTTCTGTCATTCTGTTTCTTTTTCTTTCATTTTTTTGTGTGTGAAAAGAGAGTGAGAGGTCAATCACTGGGGTCACACGGTGGCACCTGAAGTGTGTGAAGAGCTGTGATAGGACTGAAACGGAGCAGAGAAGATCGATAGACAGACAAAGATGTCACTTAATGTTGGGTTTCTTACCGTGCTTGCTTTTCGTGGTTGTAAATAGAACTCTCACTTCTGTCTTTCTTTCAGTTTTCTTTCTTGTTTACTGTCCCTTCACCTCCCTGCTGTTCCTATATATGTGCATCGCAGCAATGGGGGGAAAACTCTACAATAGGGTTTTTTCCCCCCATTGTAGCAATGCATAGATATCGGGAGAACAGCGGGGAAGTGAAGGGATAGTCAACAAAAGAGAAAGCTGTAAGCCGTTAACAGCTGTGGACGATTTTGAGTGATTTTTGTGAGCACCGTGGCCGTCAGTTTTGTTTACTTTTGTTTATTTTTAACAGGGAGCGCCGTCCAATGTGCTCCAGATCTTTTGATGCGTTTCGTGACTTTTTCCACTTCCCTGACCTGCCGGAACAGCACCCTCTCCTTGCTCCGGGACTTCCTGGTTTACAAATTAAGCGCCGCTTGGCTCGTAAACATTTGGCAAAAGATTTGGTACCAAATGTTGAACCTGATCCACATGCATTTGCACTACTTGCTTTCCTCTGCCAAATAGGTCTGATGAACAATGCTTCCCCATGCACAGCTGATCTTCTGTCTCTGCAGCTCACACAGGCTTACAGCTCATCACTGTGGGGCAGAGCGAGCCAGTGGGAGAAATGAGAGAGGGCCTGCTGCTGAGCTCTGCCTCTATTTATTCTTGATCGGTTCAGCAATTTTATTCATATGCAAATGAGTGCATGACATCATCTAGTCATGTTTGAGCACCGAATACCTACTTTCTTTCGATGATATTGGCAATGCTGAATACAGCTGCCTCAACTTGCTGTTGTCAGCATCTATGCAGTGCAGGGCAGTGGCTGCATTTAACTGTAAATAATCCAAGCTTCAATGACCGAACAGCGAAAATCCAAATTGCCTGATGTCACTGTGACACAGACTCGCTCTTTTTTTCCTCCATTGTTCCCCTCTTCCACCTCTCGCATGAACTCTTTTTTTGGAACCACAAATCTTACTGTCATCTCGAGCACCGTGATGCTGACACACAGAACACTGTGCCTTTTCCTTTTATACAAATACAGTTACACCACTTTGATTTGCATATATTATACCCATGTCGATTGCAACATTGTTGGCATGAACACATGCCTGTTCAACATGCAGTATTATATTATGAACAAAAAGGTTGCCCTTCATTTTTTGATATATCCATGCTGGGCTTTTGTGAACTGCAGTTTTGCCGTGTAGGGTCTCAGACTGTATTGAAGAAGTGGATGTAGCCTCTGAGTTTGAAAAGTAGGTGGCTTAAGCCTTGCAGAAAAAAAAAGCTGATAATATAGAACACTATGAGAAAATTATTCTACTTCACATTTAATTTAGTAGCTTAGTAAACACTTTATTAATAATTTGATGGCTTCAATTGCTATTTTCAAGGCTTCTGCAATGCAGCACGATGTTCAATTTGTAAATTATGGTCCAGTTTAGAGTAAAATAGGCAATAAAGCAGGATATGCTTTAGAACGTCCCTTCCTTGTTATGGAAAAGTTGCGACCTGTCCATCAGGACAAGAAGCATAGCACTGTGTATCAGTGGCAGTGTGTACAATTTAATAGCAATTAACTTAAGTATTGTACGTGTTTTCATCTTTGCCTTTTCACAGTAAAACGTTAGGGTTCCTCATTTTTTGTCATGCATTTAATTGTAAACCTGTTTTTCTCTCTAGCATCCTGAGGAATATCACAATGAACATGAATTACAGATGCAGCTTGCTAACCAAGCTAGTGCTAGCATTAGCTGATAGCTTAGTGTTTGCTATGGTGATGCTACCTGAGCAACCGGGCTGGTAAAGTGTGTAAATAAACTGTAGTGGTGTTAACCTATACATTAATGTAGTGGTAGCTACAGCTCAAAGTCTTATAAAAAAAATAATAATAATAATAATTTAACTAACATTAATATTTGTTTTATGCGCCTCGCCTTCACCCTCTCATCCAAATATAGTCACGTCTAGTTCAAAACACAAACAAGATGGAAACAGCCAAAATGTCATACTCGAGGCTTTAGAACCATAATCCACAAACTGGCAAAGCTTATTTAAATTACATCGTAAGCACTCTTCCTATGCTCTGTTGTTTTCGCTCTATATTGTTTTCCCTAGAGTATGAACCCAAGGTAATATATTGCAATAAAGCAGAAACTGTATATAAAACAAAATTCCACAACAAACAATGTTGAGGAAACTTGGTTTTCTTTACTCAGACCTATTTGAAATTCTCTTAACGCTACGGATGACGCCGTTCGACAGTCTTACAACACTCCATCTTGCTAATCATCCCCAACAAAGGGATGAAAGACATTGTGAATATTTAATCAAGAATTTAGCAGCCTGTTGTGACAGTAAACATAATTGAATGAATCACATTTGCCTTTCGTGGAGCAAGATTGCACTAAAACGATCAGAACAATCCAAACAGGCTGCCATGTACATAAAGCGTACTGTGCGGACCTTTCTTTAAAAATGAGCAGGGAATGGCTGACGTTTAGTTTCCTTTCAGTTTATAATTTGTCTAAAACTGGAGTCTGTAGAAACAGTGGGTTTGGTGTCAAGAAAAGTGTGATATTCTAATTTACATTTTTTTAGGCTCGCTGTCAGTAGTTATGCAGATTTCCTGAATGTAATGGCGTTACGGTGCATTGTGTTTTCAGGAAAAAACAACGTGTAAGAGACAAGCAGATTGATAGCAGATGTGATGCACGCAAAACATTACCACAACACAACAACTTTTCATCATATTTTCCCCTCTCTAGAAATGTTAATTGTGTTTTTTTTCTTTTCCACTTATAACACAAATGGACTGTAGCACTCGGATACAGGCAGAAGCTGGCAAGACAAAAGGCCACTACAGAAATGCTGTGCAGCCATATAACTTCACAGAGGGGAGTGTGTAGAGGAGAAGCTGTGTCATTTTTCATTTGGGGAGGACATATTTGTTGTTGGCTTGGTCTTTGATGTTGGGAGGTTTTCCTTTGGGGATATTT